CTCCTCCTCCTCCTCCTCCTCCTCCTCCTCCGCCAACTCCCTCTTCCTCCTCCTCCTCCTCCTCCTCCTCCTCCTCCTCGCCGCAATCAGGGACACTCAATGAGGAACGAAGCCCCGTTTTTCTGGTTTGTTCGCACTGCCGCTGAACCGACCGGGCGCGTGACAGGGTAACGTGCAGCTCCTGCCATGACACCACGACGAGATCATAGCGACCCCAGGGGCCTCTGCCTGGGTCTGGGAAGAGGCCCCGTCCTGGTACCCAAACAGCCTGGGTGCACGCGGAGGGCTAGAAGAGCAACCGCGGAATGACCCAAGGAACGTCGAGCCCCCTCCGAACCCAAAGCGGCTCTTGTTTCAGCGTCTCGGCTACGGAGCATGATGGGGTTAGGAGGCAACTACTGGGAGGTCTTCGTCGGATGGGGGAAGCGGGTGCAGGAGGGAATCAAATCCTTGGCAATTGTGCGTCGCTTTCGGGCCCGGTGTGGGCCTTCTGCGGGCCCTGGGACCGTCAACAAAAACCACAGTGGAGGCCAGTCCACAAGAAACCCAACCCTGAGACCCCAGGACGTCCATGGATTTTTGGTGTGGGCACGTCACGCTTTCCATTGCAAAACCATCGAAACCCAAGAAACCCATGGCACCCTGGAGGCAAGCAGGGTGTTTCTTGGCATTGCCCCCACTGTATTTGGGATTCTGAACTGGTTGGGGGGAAACCTTCGAGGTCTGGGACCCACTCCGCTCACCATCCCTCTCCTTCATGGCGCGGCGAGGGGGCGAACTGGAGGATGGCAGCTCCGGGTGCTAGGAGGGGTCGGGAGCAGTCGGTACCGAATGAGAACGAGCATCGGATCGGTCCGAATCGGCACGGGGTCGCACTCGAATCGGATCGGCCGCGCCAGGATGCACAGCGACCGCGCGCGATCATCTGGCCGTATCGGACCGTCGGGATGTATCGGGGTTGAATCGGAGCAGGACGAACGGATGGAGAAAGAGCGACAAGAAATGAGGATGAGGAGGGAGGAGGAAGAGGGATGAGAAGGGAGGGCGAAGGAAGAGGGAGGAGGAGAGGGGAGGAATTAAGAGGAGCACAGACGAGAAAGGAAGGACGAAGAGGAAACAGGAGGGAAAAGGAACGAGGCTCGGGGAGGAGAGCGGTCGGTCAGGTCAGGCAACTCCTGGAAGCCTACTCGTCGCACCAGCCGTGGCGCTATAAGAGGTTTCCGAGCGCCGTCTGCGCGGCGTGCACTCTCGACATGGAGCCCGCTAAGCTTAGGTCGGGCGTGAACTCCTACAAGCGGACTTCCGACGAAAGATCAAAAATCAGAGTAAGGGGGCTGAACCGAACGGTCATTCACTGTCCCTGGGTGCGTGGCTGAAGTGGACTTCCGCGATGCGGATTCTTGTTGTTGTTGCTGTTTGTTGTTGTCGTCGTCCCACCCGCGACCCGCCCCGCGACCCACCCGCGACCCACCCCGCGACACACCCACGACCCACCCCGCGACCCATGCGCGACCCACCCGCGACCCACCCCGCGACCCACCCGCGACCCAACCGCGACCCACCCGCGACCCACCCGCGACCCACCCGCGACCCACCCGCGACCCTCCCGCGACGCAGCGCGACCCACCCGCGACCCACCCGCGACCCACCTGGCGACCCACCAGAAATTTTCGGCGCCTGCGGCGGGTTTCTTTTGCATTCGTTCCAGGTCGTTCCAGGTGGAGAACCTGCGACCCAGCCGCGACCCAAACCGCGTTCAGTATACACATCGAAATTTTCGGCGCCTGCGGCGGGCTGTTTTTGAATTCCTTCCAGGTGGAGGTGGGGAGCCCGCGACCCACCCGCGACCCCAAACTACGTTCATTGAACAAGCCAAAACTTTGGCGCCTGCGGCGGATTTCTTTTGCATTGGCGACCCACGCGCGACCCACCCGCGACCCACCCCGAGACCTCCCCGCAACCCACCCCGCGACCCAACCGCGACCAACCCGCGAACCACCCGCGACCCACCGCGACCCACCCGCGACCCACCCGCCACCCACCCCCGCGACCAACCCAAAATTTTCGGCGCCTGCGGCGGGTTTCTTTTGCAGTCGTTCAAGACTTCTTTTGCATTCGTGAGGGTCACGAGGTCCGCCGGCTCGACGTCCGCGTCGCCCGCGCCCGCCCCCTCACTCTTATCCGCAATTGCGGGGTGCTACGCATATACACATCTAGTAGCGCCCGCTGAGACTGTAGCCGCGTCCTATCGTCACGAATGTCTTAAGTCAAGCGCGCGCAGCGGCGCACGTATATCAGAGTGAGGGGGCTGAACCGAATGGTCATTCACTGTCCTTGGGTGCGTGGCTGAAGTGGACTTCCGCGATGCGGATTCTTGTTGTTGTTCCTGTTGCTGTTTGTTGATTGTTGTTGCTTGTTTTTGTCGTCGTCCCACCCGCGACACGCCCCGCGACCCACCCGCGACCCACCCCGCGACCCACCCCGCGACCCACCCGCGACCCACCCGCGACCCACCCCGCGACCCACCCACGACCCACCCCGCGACCCATGCGCGACCCACCCGCCTCCCGCGACCCACCCCGAGACCCCCCAGGCGACCCACTCGCGCCCACCCGCGACCCACCTGGCGACCCACCCGCGACCCACCCGCGACCCTCCCGCGACGCAGCACGACCCACCCGCGACCCACCCGCGACCCACCCCGCGACCCACCCGAAATGTTCGGCGCCTGCGGCGGGTTTCTTTTGCATTCGTCCCAGGTCGTTCCAGGTGGAGAACCTGCGACCCAGCCGCGTCCCAAACCGCGTTCAGTATACACACCGAAATTTTCGGCGCCTGCGGCGGGCTGTTTTTGAATTCCTTCCAGGTGGAGGTGGGGAGCCCGCGACCCACCCGCGACCCTAAACTACGTTCATTGAACAGGCCAAAACTTTGGCGCCTGCGGCGGATTTCTTTTGCATCGGCGACCCATCCGCGACCCACCTGCGACCCACCCCGAGACCCACCCGCGACCCACCTGGCCCCACCCGCGACCCACCGCGACTCACCCGCGACCCACCCGCCACCCACTCCGCGACCAACCCAAAAAATTCGGCGCCTGCGGCGGGCTTCTTTTGTATTATTTCCAAGCTTCTTTCGCATCCGTCAGGGCCGCGAGGTCCGCCGGCTCGACGCCCGCGTCGCCCGCGCCCGCCCCCTCACTCTTATCCGCAATTGCGGGGTGCTACGCATATGCACATCTATTCGCGCCCGCTGAGACTGTAGCGGCGTCCTATCGTCACGAATGTCTTAAGTCAAACGTGGCGCGGCGGCGCACGTATATAAACTGCAAGGCAGACAGGGAGACCGAAGCGAACGGCTAAAACGGCCCCAGGAAGACCCCAACATGGCTGCCAGAGTCCTTGTCCTCGTCATCGCCGTCGTCATCCTAATCCTCTTCATGCTCATCCTAATGTTTCCCATTCCCACCTTTATCCTCCTCTTCCTTCTCATACTTCTCCTCCTCTCCCTCCTCTTCGTTCTGGTCATCTCTGCTCTGTCCCTCCTCTTCCTCGTTCCTCCTCCTCCTCCTCCTCCTCCTCGCCATCTTCATCCAACCTCGTCCTCCTCGTTCCCGTGCTCGTCCTCCTGTGCCTTCTCCTCCTCGTCATCGCCCTCCTCCTCCTGCTCCTCCCTCTCCTCCTCCTCCTCCCCTCCTCCTCCTCCTCCTCCTCCTCCTCCTCCTCCTCTCTCATCCTCCTCCCTCCTCCTCATCCTCCTCCTCCTCCTCATCCTCCTCCTCCTCCCTACTCCTCCTCCCCTCCTCCTCCCTCCTCCTCCTCCTCCTCTCCTCCTCCTCTCCTCCTCCTCCTCTCTCCTCTCCTCCTCCTCCTCCTCCTCCTCCTCCTCCTCCTCACCCCTCCTCCTCTCCTCTCCTCCTCCTCCTCCTCCTCCTCCCTCCTCCTCCTCCTCCCCTCCTCCTCCTCCCTTCCCTCCCCCCCTCCCCTCCTCCTCCTCCTCCTCCTCCTCCTCCTCCTCCTCCGCCCTCCTCCCCTCCTCCTCCTCCTCCTCCTCCTCCTCCTCCTCCTGCTCCTCCTCCTCCTCCTCCTGTCTCTTCCGACACAATTCGACACGTTCCCGACGAAGGCGACCCGCCGGGGCATGGCTTCAGGCTCCCTGGCCCGTTTCCCGCCAGCTCTCAGCGGTAGCGTTCCTGAGCGGGCTGGCGGGGATACAGTAGGGGCCCGGCCACAAGACACCTTCCACAAGAAACCCGACCCTGGAACCCGAGAGCGTCCATGGATGTTTGGAGCGGGAGCGTCACGCCTTCCACAGCAAAACCATCGAAGCCCAAGAAACCCAGGGCACCCTGGAAGCAAGCAAGGTGTTTCTTGGGATGGGCCTCCACTGTACGCGAAGCGTGAACATTGTTTTCCCTCTCGCTCCCCTCTGCCGCTCTCTCATGGACGCCCCGAGAAAGAGGTGCGCAAGCCGTGGCAGAAAGGGAGAGCAGCAGGACGAGGAGCAAAAGGGGCTCCGCCCCGCGGGGAAGGAACGCCAGCCAACATGTCTCCCTGTCCTCCGCTGAACCGCTGGAGAAGCGCTTGGAGCTAGCCGTGGAGGAGGCATGAAAGGAGAAGGCGGCATCGGAGGAGTAGGAGGAAGAGGAGGTTTCGGAGCAGGAGGAGGATGAGGAGATATCGAAGCAGGAGGAGGAGGAGGAGGAGGAGGAGGAGGCGAGGAGGAGAAGGAGGTATCGGAGGAAGAGGCGGAGGAACTTCGGAGGAGGGGGAGGTATCGGAGGAGGAGGCGGAGGAGGCGGAGGAGGAGGAGGAGTATCGGAGGAGGAGGAGGAGGAGGAGGAGGAGGAGGAGGAGGAGGACGAGGTATCGAAGCATGAGGAGGAGGGGAGGAGGAGGGGGAGGTATCGGAGGAGGAGGAGGCGAAGGTATCGGAGGAGGAGAAGGAGGAGGAGGAGGTATCGAAGGAGGAGGTATCGGAGGAGGAGGAGGAGGAGGAGGAGGAGGTGTCGGAGCAGGAGGAGGAGGAGGAGCTGGGTAGCCATCGGCGAAGAAGCTCCGCGAGGAGTTCTGATCACGCCAAGGGTCCGCCGACGCCCCTGGGAGCCTCAGAGCAGCGGCTGGGCCGCCCCGAGCGCCAGCAGCAGCGCCAGCGCGACCCCGCCAGCGGGGCGCGAGGCGCCCGCCTTCACGACCTTTCGGGTAGGAGATCGGCTGCAGAATTGATTCACCTCTTAGTTTGTTTTCGGCATCTACAAATAAAAATATGTCTGTTTGCGACGACGAACAAGCAACTCTGGGGTGAATCAATTGTGCAGTCGATCTCCTGCTCGGACCTTCTTGGTGGTCGTCGTGGTGCTTGTGGAGGTTGTGGTAGTGGTGGTCGTCGAGGTTGTGGTGCACTTCTGGATCTGGCACGTCTGAGTCTTCGCCGTCTCGCCGGTGCACGCACGTCCCCCGTTCAGCTGCGCAGTGGCGACTCTGCGTGTGGCCGACTGCTTACCCTCGCCGCAGGTCGCGCTGCACGTTCCTGAGGGACAACGATAGGGGGGGACTGACATAGGGGGGGGATGCATCGACCTGGAATCGGCGATACATCGCCGATACATCGGCGATAGGCCTCCGAAAATGAATCCGCACCTTCCTGGACAGGTTGGGCTATCGGGCCCCTATCGACGATCAATGGGCGATTGGGGGTCGATGCATACCCCCCTATGCCTATTCCCCCCCTATCATTGCCCCTGTGTTCCCCACGCACCCCACGCCGCCCACGCGCAATGCACTGGGGCGGGCGCGCGCCGGCGGCGGGGGGGCGCGCGGCGCCGGGACCACCAGCCCGACCTCCTGGCTTGCGCCCTCAGGTCGGCGTCTTCCTCGACCAGGGAGTCCTCCTCTGGAGGGGAAGGCAAAGGAGACCATGACCAAGACTGAACGCGCAAATGCCATTTCGACCTTGGTCACCGTCGATCTTGGTCGGCGTCAATTCGCGGCTCATCATCGCGACGCGGCGACGGCCGTCATGGACCATGACCAGGATCGGCATCGACAAGATCCACGCGGCATCTCGGTCATGGTCCCCGTGTCTCTTCCCTCCATCCTCCAGGTCGTCGAAGTCGGTGCCGCTGGTGTGGTTGTACCTCCGCATGACGGGCCCACCGCCCCCCCTCACCTCCGCGGCGTTCCCGGCCGCGTCGACCGCGAGGTGCACGCGGCCGCGCCGGGGCAGGTGGGCTTCCACGGGGCCCTCGAAGTCCTCGGCGCCATCCTTCGGCGCTGCTTCATGGCAGGGCGATCAATGGGTGCACGATTTCTCTCGGGGCGGCAGGCGACCCGAGAAGGAGGTGGAGGAGGAGGAGGAGGAGGAGGAGGAGGTGGAGGAGGGAGAGGGGGAGGAGGAGGAGAAGGAGGATAGAAGGAGGAGGAGTAGGAGGAAGCGGAGGAAGAGAGGGAGGCGGAGGGAGGAGGAGGAGGAGGAGGAGGAGGAGGAGGAGGAGGAGGAGGAGGAGGAGGAGGAGGCGGAGGAGGAGGAGGAGGAGGAGGAGGAGGGAGGAGGAGGGAGGAGGAGGAGGAGGAGGAGGAGGAGGACGGGTCGCCTAAGCCCTTCGTGGAAATCCTCCATCATTGGGGGGCGGGAAAGCGTGAACCTTTCGTGCCCCTCTTTGGCACCAGAGGGCCCCTTTGTTGATGGCAGAAGATCGACCCCCATAAGAATTCACCCCGACACGCGAAGCGGTTGAGTAAACGCACCCACAAGAGGAATCGAACAGGCCAGGGCTGTTTAGCAAACGCCCAGGGCCGTTCAGCAAACGCCACTTCTCGGGTCCGGGAGGCTTTTCCTCCCTTGGCTGTAGGGCACCGAAGGTGCCCTTTTCTTCACCCCCCCCCCCATCTTTCGTCCCCCCTGTTGCGCAACGACCGACGTCCTCGGCATCCGCGTGCTCGGGCTCCTCCGCCTCGGCATCCAGCTCCTCGGCGTCCTCCTCGGGCTCCGCACCCGGGCTCGCCTCCGAGGCATCCCCCCCCCCCCACTCGGGGGCCTTGGAGCCCTCCTCGGCCGACGTTGGGGAGCCCCTCGCGTGCGCCGCCGTGGCGTGCTTCTCCTTGTCCGCGGGACCGCCGGCCGCGGCGTGGTGCGCGTGGCCCTTGGTGCGGTGCAACTCGGCAGCCTCCCCCCCGTGCGCGGAGTGGCCACGGTAAGGATGTCGGCGGCAAGCGAGAGGGGACGTGAGAAGGAGAAGGCCTTCTCAGAAGGACTTTTCAGAAGCCCTCGCGCCTTCTGAGAAGTTTCGTTCTTTCTTCGGGGAAGGCCTGGAAAGCTTCTCAAAGGCCAGGAGACATCCGAACTTTCTGAGGAGGCCTTCTTCTTCTCACTTCCCCCCCTCGCCCGCCGCCGAGGATGGGCGTCCTCGAGGCCGTTCAGCTCAGAATGGCTGTGGCCGCGGGCGGCGGTGGACTGGCGGCTCCGCTGGCCGCGGGGAGCCGCGTCGGCGGCGACGGTCGCTGCGCCGAGGGCGCAGCGGATGGTCACGGCGAGCAGCAGCGTCATCGCAGCCCGCGTCATTGCTTTGTGGAGGGATGGGGGGAATGCGGAGGAACTGGTAAGTCAGCCTCGCGCTGAAGCCACAACGGTTACGGACTTAGAGGTCGAGACCGCCTCCTCGTCCTCCCCCCGCGTGCAGCATAGTTAGCTTACCACGCGCGCGGAGCCTTTTCCTCCGAGTCGGAGTCTGGAGCTTGCTTTTGACAGCCGGCTGGTGAATTGAGGCGGACTCGGCGGGTCTCACATTACATCTAAAATCATCAGCAAGTGTTAAGCAAGCGAGACCTTCGCGAGACGATATCTTCAGGGAATCGACATCCTCCTTCGCCCTCACTCCTTTCCCCAGTGCCTCGTTCAGCTCCATCGTCATCGTCGGCGTCATCGTCGTCTTCGTCGTCCTCCTCCGAGAAGAGGCAGGAGAGAGGGAGGAAGGGGCGGAACATTCGTTCTGATACATACACAGCCGCTGAACATTAGTGTGTGTGCGCGTGTGCATACACACGCGCGTGCATCTATTCAGTGTCAATTATCCGCCAACGTGCCTTTGGCACGAAAAGGAACGCCCCGAGGCTCACAATTGTGCTGCTGCTGCAGCCAAGATTGCAGCGTCGCGAGGACCCGGACTCGCAAAGTTCAAGGCGTTTCGGGCGTATCCTGGGATGTTTCCCGTGAGTTCTTGGGTATTTCCTGCCGGTCCTCTGGATGCTGTGTCCACCGAAAACAACCTGCCGAATCCTCCGATGTGTCCAAGAGGGCTCCGATTCGCCGAAAGATCGCTCCAAGACTCAAGACGGCCTCCAGACGAGGCCTCCAAGACGCCCAGAGAGCACCCCCAAAAAACAATTCATGTATTTTCTCTGGTGATTGAACGAATTTGGCCCGCCTCGCTCACCTGGTGCCTACCTCACCCCGTCTGACTCACACGGTGCTTGACTTTTACCTGGGGAGAGTGGGAGGAGCCGACGCCGCCACTCCCCAGACCTCTCCTGGGATGCGTTATGACTAAGATTTCGAGGCGAATGCAGCGGTGGTGACGAGGGCTGCCCACGCACGCAAGAAGCCGCAGCTGGACAGCGCATCGACATAATAAATTGTCGTATAGGAGGCAAGGGGAAACTCATACAAAAGACATGTCCGGGCTGAATGCAAGTGCGCCGGAACGCAACCACTGCATATTGCAGTAGTGGGCAGCGGTGGGAGTTGCACCAGCACTGCGTCATGCAAGGAGGAGGAGGGGGAGGAGGAGGAGGAGGAGGAGGAGGAGGAGGAGGGGCGCCGAAGGCGCCGCCCGGGGGGCCCAGCGCAGATCTAAGAAATCCGCGCGGAGCGACAAAAGTTCATGTTTGTGACTACCTACCTGACCACCCCAACCCAACCCGAAGACCCGAATTTCGGGTTGGGGGGGGTATGGGCTGGGCTCCATGTGTTTTTCCAGTGTTCCCAGACCCCCCCCCCCCCCACTAGAAATCAAGGGTAAATCTGAGCCTTCGGGTTGGGTTGGGGTGGTTTGGTGGGTGGTGAGTTTGTGGCGTTCCTCATTCGAGAACGGCGCCTTGCCTTCCTCGGGACCCCCCGTGGGTCGCAACGCGACTGCCGCGAAGGGCTCGGGCCCCCGACGGGTGCGGCCAAGAGGTGCGGCCTCGCGCTGCCCCGAAGGGCGCCGCGCCCTCGGCATCCCCGTCGGCCAGCGGGTACAGAGACTTCCAAGTCCTCCCCCTCCCTCCTCCTCCCTCCTCCTCCTCCTCCTCCTCCTCCTCCTCCTCCTCCTCCTCCTCCAACTTCCAACTTCCAACTCCGCGACCTCCAAGTCGACCGCCAACGCGGGGGCGGTGATGCTCAGCGGGCGGGACGCCGCGACCCACCCGCGACCAACCCGCGACCCACCCGCGACCCATCGCGACCCACCCACGACCCCCCCGGATTTTCCGCCAGCAGCGGTAGGAACCGCTCTTTCATACATACATACATACATACATACATACATACACACATACAAACAAACATACATACATACATACATACATACATACATACATACATATATTCATTCATTCATTCATTCATTCATCCATCCATTCATTCATTCATTCATTCATGCATACACACAGCTACATATATAATGCCATACATACATACATACATACATACACGCATATACATACATGCATACATACATACATACATGCATACATACATACCAACAACTATACATACATGCGTATATACAAACATACAAACATACATACATGCATACATACATACATACATGCATGCATACATGCCATTACATTACATTACATTACATTACATTACATTACATTACATTACATTACGATACATACATCAGACTGAGGGGAGGGGGGCTGAACCGAACGGTCATGCACTGTCCCTTGGTGCGTGGCTGAAGTGGATTTCCGCGATGCGGATTCTTGTTGGTGTTGGCATTGTTGCTTGTTGTTGTGTTTGTTGTTTGTTGTTTGTTGTCTGTTTGTTGTTGTCGTCCCACCCGCGACACGCCCCGCGACCCACCCGCGACCCACCCCGCGCCTGCGGCGGGCTTCTTCTGCATTCGTTCCAGGCTTATTCTTCATTCGTGAGGGCCACGAGGTCCGCCGACTCGACGCCCGCGTCGCCCGCGCCCGCCCCCTCAATCTTATCCGCAATTGCGGGGTGCTTCGTACTCAAAACAACTCAGAACATATGACACATCGTCGAACAATCGTCGCCCGACTATGTCTTTTTACTATTCTTGAATATTCCCTCTGTAAGAGAACATGCCCGACTTAACGCTCAGCGCGGAACCCGAGTGGCCCGCCTCGGGAGGCGCTCAGGGCGACGCGCCGAGCAGCGCCGCGCTCGAGCACTGCTGAATGGGGGGAGGACGAGGCGGAGGAGGAGGAGGAATCGGAATCGGAATCGGAACAGACGCGAAGCGTCACTTGCAAGCAAACCTCTTATTGGTGAGCACGCGCGGCACACGCGCACGCACACGCACACACAAGAGGCAAGACAAACGACAGAACTCTTATGCAACAGTGTGTTCACCTTATTTCATGTCCCTCCGCAAAGTAAGCAAAAGAGCTGGAGAATCGTGATGCACAACACAGCCTCCGCCCTGTATCAGAAAATGCCAACGCCCTGCAAATGTGTTCTCCCGTCTGCAACGACAAGCAATACACATAACAGAACCGAGACTACCTGATCAAGTTCCTCCACTGAGTAAGCACCCGCGCAATTAACGAAGGCCACAACAAAATCCCGTAACGAAAAAGTAATGTGCACCTCTCGCATGGTCACTGCTGCTTGCACTTCTCATCTGAATGGGTTGTGGAACCTGGCGGATGCGAAACGGGTCTCGAAGGAGGCGGACCTGGAGAACCCATCACTTGGTTCAGCGCGGAAAGGACATCTGGCGAAAGCGGGATGGCCGTCCGACTGCCAGCAGCTCCACTTGTGCGCCCCGGAGAAGCGCCACCAGCGACCCGTGGCTCCCGCTGAAAGGCCCCCGCCGCGACCGCGGGGCCTTTGCTGGGAGCGGGGGGCACGCCGAGCATCACCTCCACTCTCTCCTCCGACTCCCCCTTCACGACGACGCTGGCCGAAATCCTGGGAGGTTCTCCGTGGGCTGCCGCAGGAGCGTCGACGGGGACTGCCGCCTCCAGTCCGCCGCTCGCCTCCCCCGCCTTGCCATCCCTCCCCAGGGCAGTCATCCCCCGTAGGGGCCCTGTTGGGGCTGTGGGAGGCTGGGGGGCCGAGGCATCGCCACCAGCAGCACCACGAGCTTCACGATCGCCGCCTGCGGCGCGAAGGACGTTGGCCAGGGCCTCCCCCAACAGGGTCGGGCGGCAGCCCCTGTGCCCCATGGCGTGGAACCCACGTAGGAGCGCCTGCGCTGCGAAACTGCGCCCGCGCTGCCTGCGCCCTCCGCTCCGCAGCCGAGCGCTGGGGACGGCCAGCGGCGCGCCAAGGCGGCTCCATGGCGGGCGCGGGCGAAGGGCGAAGGGAAGGGAGAGGGAAAGAGAGGAGGGGCAGCGGCGTGGGCCGCCTGGCGCGGGCTCGCGAACCCGCGGGGGTTCGACCCGAGTTGGCGCTCGGAGGAGGAGGAGGAAGAGGAGGAGGCGGAGGAGGCGGAGGAGGAGGAGGAGGAATAGGAGGAGGAATAGGAGGAGGAATAGGAGGGAGGGGGCCCAGAGATCCGACACTCCAGAACTGGAGCAAGCGGGCTCCTGGCCGCTTTCGGCCTCCGCGGGGGCCCCCGCAGAGCCATAGGAGGCGTTAGCAAAACGACTCCAGGCAGAAGACGGGCCCCAGGGAAACGGTCCGGACCTCTGGGGCCCACGCATCGGAGAGATTATCAGATTGGAACAGGCGGATGTCTGGGACCTTTCGTGCCCCAGCTGGGCTCGAGAGGGGCAATCCAGGGCCCTTTTGGGGAACACAAGGCGCATCTTTCTCGGGCCCCCCCCCCCCTTTCATCGCTCATCGCCCCCCCCCTGAACTGCGCAACCTCCACCTCGCCCACTTCCCCGTCTCACCTCCAGCAGAACGGCCTCGACCTCTGCCTTTAGCTGCGCCCAAGAGGCAGCGGGTTGTGTCTCGGGCCGGCCGCCAACCGACCTCTCTCTCTCTCTCTCTCGGCGGCAGCATAAGGCTCTGCATAGCCCGTCCTTCGAGGCCCGCGACCGCCCTGAGTTTGCCAAGGAAGCGCCCACCCCCGCTTCTGCGCCCATCGGATTGCGAGCCGGGCGCGCTGAGCGGCGCCTTGCGCTGAGCACAAGCCATCGGGGCAGCACGAACGGGCCGAGCGACTCGTGCGGCACAAGCTGCCTGCAGCGCCTAGGCGGTGAAGCACACGACGGGCTCATCATGATGCGCCGCCGCGCCTCCATCTCCAACCATCGCTCCACGGGCCACAGTGGCGCCGTCACTACCAAGATCCTGATCGGCTCGACACCCTCCGAGAGAAACGCCATCGTCTCCACCATTACGGGGAAGAACGAGGGGGGGGCCAGGAATGTCTGCAGCAGCTTTAGCGGCCTGGGGCACACCACTGCCACCGCCACCATCAGCGCGCGG